TATGAGGGTGGGAAAAAGATTAGCTCGCTGGGACATAAATAATGGCAAAAAAATCCGACCGTGTGCACATTTCATTCAATATGTTTTTTAATAAGGCAGTCAGGATTAACGAATCATCGAACTTTTCTTCCTTTTATTTTCATTTTTGTAATTTGTCTCTCATTTCTTTGGGGTCAAATATGATAATTAGCTTCCCTTCACTACAACAAATCTTGATCTAAGAGATCTCTTTAAGCATTGTGGTAAGTTTTGGTTTTTGTTGTTTTCTTTATTTTCTTGTCATATAATATATTCTTTATATGATTAGGAAATGTTATGAGGGCAGAAATCTTAGAACAAGGTGGACGGCCTAAAGGCGCAGGAATAGTACAATTTGATTCTTATGATTCTGCACGACTTGCTGTTGGTATGCACTTTGGCTTTATTTTTTATCTTAATATCAATGCGTTTACTCAATCAGTTAATTTCTTTTATGTGATTGCTTAAAATTAGAAAAATTCCACGGATATTCATATGGTGGTCGCCTTATTGATGTCTACTTTGATCGATTTGCATGACAAACAATAAAATATGATTGATTTCGAAGGTTTTTTGGGGGTGTTGTCGGTGTGTAGCGAATTTATATCCTATCCCTAAATTAACCCTTTGCTTAAGCGTTACAAATATTCTTACAATTTGTATAACACATAATTCATTAATAACTGAAACAAAACATATATTCACGCCTCTAAAATTTATTTTACATTTTAATTTTTTTATATCCCAAAACGATTTGTAGATTTGGTTCAATTTCGGTGATTTTTGGCTGGAATTAATTAGTCATGGAATCAAATCCACCATATTAACAACTCTTGTCGCAGTGCAAATACTATATTATTATTATTCGTTGCATATTTGGCAACAAACTTCTATAATAAACGAAATATTTTAGATAATTCAAACCCATGATGAAGTTATAATATTCAATCAGCAATATAAAATTGTGAATATAAGATACACACGTAAAATGCATTTAATTTATTTGAAGGAAACAGTCAATATTTTATTAGTAAAAATAACATTTTTTTCCCAAATTATGGTTTTACTCATTATTTTTTTGTCTGTAATTTAGCATTTCTTTAACCTAACCAATTTAGTACAACAAAAGCGAAAATAAATGTAACGTTGGTATCACCCGCTCTTTCACCCTATATAATACGTACGTTCGTGCGTGTCTTATTATCTCTTTCCTGTCAAAGGAAACGATAATAGTCGCGCTCGTGGAATTATATCGAAATGTCTGAAAGTAAGTTGTGTATTAGATACTTAGATATTCTAATACAGTCGTCCCTCTCTATTATCAAATAAGATGGGGCCATATATTTTTGTTGATATATAAGAGGTTCTCTAACTCAGAGGTTAGAGTTAATATCAATAATATATAAGTTCAAGTGAAATTTGTTCTGCAATAAATGTTGATATTAAAGAGGTTAGGGGCGACTATACATAGATTTAGTCAACATCTATTATGTAAAAAGTTTTCGAAAGCAAAATAAAAGGATTAAATTTTTTGTTTAACCTCCAAAAAATTGAGCATTGGATAATGATTTGAACTAATAATAATCAATATAATTTTCTTGCAGCAACCCCTTTGTTGTTTGAAGGTAATAATAATAAATCTCAAGGAGGCGACAGACAAAAAATTACTAAATTTTTTTAATTTTATCTAGTGGATCGAATTATCGATTCGGTATTAAATGAGTCCGTTAAAGTGACGCCGACAAATGGGAGTATGTCTCGGTTAAGTTTCACTTTATCACAATTTGGTAAGAGACCCTATATCGTGGGTCATCGTGGCGCAAGTGACACTTATCCCGAGAATACGATTATTGCATTTGAAAAGGCTATTCGGGATGGCGCAGATGCTATTGAATTTGGTATTTATTATTTTAATTCTTCTTATTTAATTCATTTGACATAATATTTTAATTATAATCAATCCTTCTAGATATTCAAAAAACTTTGGATGATAAAGTGATTATCTTGCACGACTTGCATCTTAACAGGACAACTACAGGGGTTGGAAAAGTCGCCAAGGCCAATTATTACGGCAACTTAGAACACGTCACTACAAAACAGGCACCGCACTGTCATCTTCCACTTTTCGATGATGTGATTGATATGTTGTTAAAAGAACAAAATAAACATGTATGGGGTGTAATCGATGTCAAACCAGGTAATCCGCTAAATATTTTCGAATTACTTGCCGAAATTCTACGTTCGCGGAATTCCGATTTAAAGGTATTCTCAAAACGTATTATGCTCGGAATCTGGCATCCAAAATTCTTGCCGTATGCACGAAAGGATTTACCGGACATCCCTATCGTAAATATCAGCGAATCGCTTAGAATCTCACGCGAATTTTTCAGCGATGTTGACGGATATAATCTGCGGGGAACAATTCTCGCCGGAAAAGACGGGCAAAAATTCGTGAAAAATGCACATGACACCGGGAAACCGGTATACGTGTGGACTATTAACTCCAAATTACACGCAAAAGACTGTTACGATTTGGGTGTTGATGCTATTATGACCGATAAACCGAAATATGCCATCGAATATTTTCAAAATGAAATGTTTTCTACAAACAATTATTGGTGGTTTTCCTTCTTTCGTTTCTTTCGTTTTCTATATTATAGGTTTTATTCACATTATATTGATATTAAGACACACAGATGGCTTCTTAAATATGGGCCTTTGGAGAAGGCAGCAGAAATTAAATCAGACGGGTGAATATTTCATCATAAAATACTATATAGTATAGTATGATCTGGTGCAACAAGATTGGAACATCAATATAAAATTAATAATTGCTTCTAATAAAAATCATTCAAATTTTAACTAATCTTTATAATTTTTTATATTAAATAAAGAATGATCTAAATTAACTTTTTATACT